CCTCACTCACCTCACTCACTCACTCACCTCACTCACTCACTCACTCACCTCACTCACCTCACTCACTCACTCACCTCACTCACCTCACTCACCTCACTCACTCACCTCACTCACTCACTCACCTCACTCACCTCACTCACCTCACTCACTCACTCACTCACTCACTCACCTCACTCACTCACTCACCTCACTCACTCACTCACTCACCTCACTCACCTCACTCACTCACTCACCTCACTCACCTCACTCACTCACTCACTCACTCACTCACCTCACTCACTCACCTCACTCACTCACCTCACTCACTCACTCACTCACTCACCTCACTCACCTCACCTCACTCACCTCACTCACTCACTCACCTCACTCACCTCACTCACCTCACTCACTCACTCACCTCACTCACTCACTCACCTCACTCACTCACTCACCTCACTCACTCACTCACTCACTCACCTCACTCACTCACTCACCTCACTCACTCCCTCCCTCCCTCCCTCCTTCCTCCCTCCCTCCCTCTCCCTCCCTCCCTCACTCACTCACTCAGTCACTCCTCCCTCCCTCACTCACTCACTCCCTCCTCTCCCTCCCTCACTCCCTCACTCCCTCACTCCTCCCTCCTCACCTCACCTCACTCACTCACCTCCCTCTCCCTCACTTCCTTCCTCCTCCCTCCCTCCCTCACTCCCTCACTCACTCACTCAGTCACTCCCTCACCTCCCTCCCTCACTCCCTCCCTCACCTCACTCCCTCCCTCCCTCACTCCCTCACTCCCTCCCTCCCTCCCTCACTCAACTCACTCACTCACTCACTCACTCACTCACTCCCTCCCTCCCTCCCTCCCTCCCTCACTCACTCACTCACTCCCTCCCTCACTCCCTCACTCCCTCCCTCACTCACTCACTCCCTCCCTCCCTCCCTCCCTCACTCACCTCCCTAACTCACTCACCTCCCTCACTCACTCACTCCTCTCTCCTCCCTCCCTCACTCACTCCTCCCTCCCTCCTCCCTCCCTCCCTCCCTCCCCCTCACTCACTCACTCACTCACTCACTCCCTCCCTCACTCACTCCCTCCCTCCCTCCCTCCCTCCCTCACTCACTCACTCACTCTCTCTCACACCTGCTTTTCAGTTTGACTTTGGTATAATTTGAAGTACATTTTTTCTTTGTAAAATAAATATAATTTTCATTATTCAATAATCTTTTTGTGGACATTTCTTATGTTTTATGTGGAGCGTCAGGCCCTTTTTGCTCAGTCACCACCAAAAGGATTTTATCTGACTCTACACTTACTCTGTATTTGTCTATATACTTATCATGCATTTTTCAGTGTATGTTATGAACTGTGCAGGCAGTATACAGGTGAATGAGGGGTCCTGCAGCCCCGCCCCTCTGGTGCTGGTGGGTGTGTCCACATGGAGCTGATTACTTCACAAACAAGTCAAAGCTTTGGCATAAGAATCCACAGCTAAATCCAAACAAAACATGACTTCCCCACATTGTCTGAGCATTGACAGATCTCAAATCCAACCCTTGAGCCTGGACACATTATGGACTGTAGCTTAGCATGCATGTTAGCCAATTAGCTGCTGGACAGGAAGCAGGAAGTGGCTTGCTGCCTCATTGGTGTTGAAGCCAGTTTAAGCAGTGTGGACCTGCTCTGCCACTTTTGGGCACTCGCACTGACAATGGGTGCAGTAGGTTTCATTAGTTTTGTCAAATATACGTCCGAGATGTCCGTGCATTGTGCTGCGATGAGAGATTGGTCTCACGGTGCTGCGATGCAAGATGCCGATGGTCCTGACTGTCGTTTGTTACCAGTCCAAAGTCCCATCCATCTTCTGGGTAAGATTTTTATGATTTTTTGGGTTTTTTTTCCACAGCTATTGTTTTTCTCTGTAGATATGACATTGAATGCACTGTTTCATTCTTTTGTTGACAGTCACATCCTTTTCTTTTTCCAAGACTATTTGTTTTGAGTCAAAAGAGAAACCAAATTGTAAGTGAAATGTGGCTTCTTTGCTTACGATAGGGGAAGACAAATCATTTCTTACTTGTTGATAACTTGAAGATCTATTTAACCGCCGTCACGATACTCAAACCTAGTATTTGTTGGTGATTTTTGCAGCGCTTTAGAAATCCTGGTCCAAATATAAGTTCAGCTCCTCTTTCAAAGTCAGTGCTGGATTTTCATATTTTAAGGTGGATTTAAGGTGGATTTAAGGTGGATTTAAGGCTCATGTCTCCTATTTCTATTTGTTGAATGTTTTGAAGAGGGGGAAGACGTTTATTGTGCAAACTGGTTCCAATGGGGCTGATGGATACAGGTTTGTTACATTTGTATGCTGTCGAAATGCTAATGAGCTAATTGATATTTGTAGGGCATGCAAAACACAAGAGGAAAGTGGGGCAGCTTTAAGCAAGTTTGCCGTAAAGAAAAATCGAACTAGAATTGTAGAAAAGCTGTGCTCTGTTGTATGAAGCGCAGTCAGATTTCTGAAGACGTTTACTAAGATAAAATCAATTTCCTAATGGACTGGGCGACTCTTTGGGCTTGAAACTAATGCAGAAAGATGTGTTGAAATCTCAAAAGCTAAAACATAAACACCGGCCTTTTCAAACAATCATATAATATATTATTCTATATCATAATGCGTTAATCCTGGTAGACGAAAAACTGGTCATTAAAACTGATAATTAACTGTAAATGTCTATTTAGAAAGTACAATCATTGAATATCTAGCCGTACTTAAAATTACTTAAATTGGTTATAATCCTAGAAATAGGTATTTTTAACATTGTCAAATAGAAATATTCTTTGAACATTCTATTTACAAGAAACATGAATTAACTTTCCTCATTTGCCAAAAAATAAGTGTTTTGTTTTGCACAGGAAAATAATTCTTGCTTTAAGAATGATCCTTCCACACCTGATGCTGAATCTAAAATAAAAGAATACAATAAAAACAAAATCCTGAAATTACCTTAAAAAAACTTGCTAACTAATATTATCGACTTGAATCGTATTTAAACCAGTCCTGCTCCTTTCTTATGTATCATTTTGTTTTTCTTGACCAACAATAATGTCTCTCAGGCTTTTGATTATTGACCTTCAGTTCGGCTCCTGAATGCAGATTATAAAATGGCCTCCACTCCAGACAAAACCTGTGGCCACAAGAAAAATAAGTTTTTCTCATGTTTGAAAAGACGCCTTGGAGATTTATTTATTTTTTTGTTACAGAAGCATTTATTCTTAGATAGTGTGAATTATTAGAGAAAATATAACGATCAGCTATCGTCAATATATCGTTGTGGAAAAAATGGTGTTGATTGTGAAGCTGCTCAAAGGCATTTGTGAGGGTGTCATTTGGTAATAACTCTGATTGTACTTGTTAGATGGTGTTCCTTCAGTAAGAGGAGGCCGCTCTATAGTGTAAAAGACAAAAATCCCTCTTCCATAAAGTCGAGCAGGCGGGTTTCTGAGATCACAATCATGAAGCGTCCATTTTGTTTGTCAAAAATGTCACCTGTTTGACTTGTGAGCTTCCGGTTATTTTCATTGACTTTTAATCAAGCAGGAAAGTCCCAGTGAGATTTCAGAATCTGGGGGGTCTTTCAGGGGAGTCCGGGCCCCAGAGAGAGAGAGAGAGAGAGAGAGTTATTGCACATGGTTTTAGTGGATCACCCGGAGGAAACACGGGTAGAACATGCAAACTCCACTCCAAAAGGCCCTGTCTGGAGATGTAATCAAACCCAGGACCTTCTTGTTGCGAGCGGGAGCACTAACTGTGTCATCCTGCTGTGAGCTGAATAGCACATACACATCTTATATTTGAATAATTGTGGAAATATTGGCAGTCTCTGGACTTTTATAATTTATCAACGCTGGAAATGATTGACAGACATTGGCATTATCTGAATTTGCTCATAAGAGTTGGTGTTGTATATTTCACAATGACTGGTGGTAATTTTAGTAGATCTTGCTATTGCTTGGTTGTTTTGACTCTAAGCTTTTTGGGAAATGTAGAAAGCCTTTATTTGGACCTTTTATTGGACTTCTCTAAATTATTGGCATTTGGTTTATTTAACAATGCATGCAATATGTTTTCAGAAATATGCACTTGGTCTATTAGGACATAGCCTGACAGAGTGTCATATTTTTTTTAGAGATTTTGAAAAAGGTTCCCCTCATTGTTGCTTGGGTGAAGGATGATTTTCTATTTGTACTTTTTTAAACCAGTTTGTGTGAACCCATGATCTTTTGATCCTGGTTAATCTGGGTAGTCTCTGTTGAAATTATTATTTACAGTGAGTGAACGCTGATAAAGTGGCTTCATTATTACCAACCGATGTGTTTCATTCATATCTTTGAATGGCTATAAAGGCTTACTGGCTTCAGGGTATGTAAACTTGCCCTATGAGCACAACTGCCTTATCCAATTCTGATCAAACTAATCTGACTATGTGCCTGATGTGGTTTCATTACCATAATCATATCATTTCCTTTACGTTTGCATTGTACTGGTCTTTGCGGCTGCTCCACCTTCCTTTAGTGGCATGCAGCCTACTGTACCGATAGAATATTACATCTGGAGTGGTTGTGCTGCAAGAAATAAGTAATCCATGTGGGAGCCAGGCAGAGAGCAGTGTGTAGGATGGCGACGGAGGGCGACCCATTGACTGCGTCTGTGTGGCAGACTGTGTAGGCAGGGGAGTGGAACTGTCCATGGTGCTGAAGCTGCTGCAGAAACGCACACTCAAAGCACCGTGTCGCCTGCAGTCTATTGTCTGCACATGCAAGAGCAGCGCGCCCGTTTCCCAATCCCTGTCGCCAAAAACTAGAACATTCTGCTCTGTACATGTCTCTAGGACGAGCAGCTTTCCCGAGTCTTGCGCCAGTGTGCGTAAGTCTGCGTAAGTCTGTGCGAGGCGGTGTTTGACTTCAAATGCCATATTTAGGAAAAGCGCTTGATGTCTTTGAGTGACTGCGGCGACGGCAAATGGCGTGTTCTGATGTGGAGGAGCGTGGAGAGCCAATAGCAGGGGGCGTGGGGGTGTGTGGGGAGGATGGGGAGATGCAGGGATATCAGTCCGCGCACAGAACGGCCCGTGTAGGCTGTGCGCGGAGAGATACTGCGGTGTGCTGCGGTGCTATATATTGCGCGACAGGACTATGTTCTTTTTAAAGAGAACCTCCTCCTCGCGTTGTTTCCACTCAGTGATGTCGCGTATTTGTGTGGCGCACCTGTAAAGAGCGACACAGGCACAAGCCGGCTTTTTTAATTCTTTGATTCCTTTTTATTCTTTTCCTTTTTGTTCCCTTTTGTTCCATGCATTTGCTCCCTGGAAATCATTTGTGTGTTTTAATTTAATAAATACTTCATTTCATCATTTTATATTGTTTGTGTATGATTTTATGTTCTTAAGTTTGACTTAAAAAGAGCGGAATTCACCCTTTTACGAGCTATTGGCCAGTGTTTGAGATTGTTTCTCTAAGGACGACCCTAACTTTCATTTGTATAAACGGTAAGATATTTTTTTACGCATTTGCTCCTTGAATCTGAAACCTTGTCGGATGGTGTTGTCTGAGCAGCCCGCAGAATCCTACTGTAGCTTATTGCATGTCAGGACAGTGGAGTGGTCTTCCTCGGGTCTCTCGGTTGTGCTGATTGTACTTGAGAGACTGAGGAGAAGTGGGCAGTGTCTGCACATGTGGCCATTTCCACAGGCTCTTGCACGGACTATTTGATCACTAACATTTCAAGGTTAGAAGGATGGTACGAGCCTGAATGAGTGTGGCGACCCTGTGGAGGATTGTAATGTTTTTTTTTAATACACGCCTGGATGTACACTTGGACTCATGACTTTCATTTGACGTGTGTTGCATTTTAATACGATCTTAATGTATAGAGCAAAATGTATTGTACTGTGGTCGGGAAGCACAAAGCCAGCCTGGAGGGCACCTCCTGACTTGTCAAGAGTGGTTGGGCTTAGACAATAAGAGCACTTTGATGGAGGGAAGCATGCGTAGTTTTGTTGTTATGATAGTAAAGTAGAGACAACTCAGTTCATTGACAGTTTTTACTATTGAATGGACGTTTGACGGCAACAAAAAGAACAGCATTACGTTGAGCATGGCTATTCCCCTGTGCAATAGGCTACTATGACTATAGAGTCCTTATATGCACCGTTGACATAGGCGTTCACCTTACGTTCTCTGTTGGAACATGCTTTCTTCACATAAGCAGTTTTAATTTGCAGATGGGGAAAGGTCCTAATTTTCTGTCTGACCTAAAGAATTGTGTCATTAGTGCTTAGTTCATTAAAAAACGGTTTAATCAAAATTTAATAAAGGACCAATGGTGTCATTTTAGATTTAAAATAATGGATTGTTGGCTGAGCCAAGGTTAGTCATTATAGATGCCCTGCGTCTTTTGGGTGCTCTGCTTGGACAAAGTATATACCCAGCCTAATTTATTTATCTAGCTTCATTTTAAACCCACGTCATCGCTATAATATGGCTGGTAAATTATACATGGAGCACATCTGTCTTGATGGAGTAAAAGGTTGCACAGAGTTCAGTAATAACTAAAATAGAAACTAAATGTGTGTGTATGTTAGGCCAGTGTGCACAGAAGGCACTGCTGTTAAATATTGTAAATGTATTTGGAGAGTGTACCATGCAGCTCTGAATCACAGTACAGTTAGAATACATGCATGCTGCACGGCTACACCGGTGCCACTGGACTCTGTCACCCTGCTACACCGGTGCCACTGGACTCTGTCACCCTGCTACACCGGTGCCACTGGACTCTGTCACCCTGTGGCCCACTTCCGCGTACAAACTTGAGCTGTGTTCTGATTGGCTGAGCTTCCAATTAGTTTATTTGGGGAGGCCGCGTTCCCGCCTCCGCCCCCTAATCACTGCGCAAGACTGCAGCTCACAGATTGATGTCTGCACATTTTGATTAAATTACTCCGCGACCACATCCAGGTAAGAGGACGCACGACACCGCAGGACAAAAACCCTTCTGCCCTTCGCAGGAGCGGGGCCAGTGCACAGAGCTCTCCGTGGGCATGGCGTTAGCTCCAACCAGTCTGCAACTTTCACCCCCAATGTAAATGCTTTTATACCGTGACATTGGAGCTAGGTCCCTATAGCTTTGTGCAAACATGTGTCTGAGTGATGAGCACGGCCAGAGACGTACTTTATTCTGCAGAGCTCACATGGTTCTCACATGGTTCTCACATGTTTTAAGCTAGCCGGTGTTTCTGAGCTTCACTACAGACCATCTGCGTGTGTTGGGGTGTGTTGGGGGTCTATGGGCCCCTGTTCCCAGTTCCTACACGGGTTTATTCTGGTTTTTGGGCCGGTCTCCCCATGGTCCTGCAGGAGCCGTGTCTGCGCAGCTGCAGCTCATTAACTCATTAGTAATCACCTCCGCGCGCGCGCTGCCAACTCGGTCCAATGTGTGCAGTAAAGTTTGTTACTCCTTCAAAAGTGAAACAAATACTCTTTTATCAACACTGGCTTATCATTTCCAAACGTTTATATTCTCCCAATGCATTTACAGTTGATCAGTGTCTCAGAATGGTCCATGGTGGTCACGTGACTACAGCACGTGGACGTGTGTAAGGAGCAAGTATTCCAAAGTATATGGTGAAAAATGTGTATTGTTAAAAGTGGGCTACTGTTCTCTCTTCTGTGTTTGTAATTTACCACTGGGAGAATACGTACAGTTTAGTAACAGAATAATATCTTTAAAATTTAATTTGTAATGTATTGTTATTTAGTCCAGTCAGAGTACTGTAATCTGAGTACTGAGTGTGCTCATTTGCATATTAGTGGGAATACGTGGCTATGGTTTCAAACGGCTTTGCTTTTGTAAAAATGTTTTGATATAAAAAAACTAATTCTTTGATAAAGGACCCCCTTGAAAAAGAGATCTCAATGGGGCTATCCTTAAATAAATAAATAAATAAATAAATAATTCATCAATAAAGGCCATATTCTTTTGCAAGTGCATGAAGTGCCAAAATGTGCAGAAATATTTGTAAACTATACTGAGAAAACCACCAGAGGTATATGGTAATGTGTTTCAGTGCATGTATACAGTTTCTCCAACACTGTTAAGTTACTACAGAAATAAGTTCTAGTTGGATTACTGGTTACATCTAATCAGACAAATCAAATATCATTTGTAAGTTAAAATGATCTGAGACGACAGTATTGGGACTCTTTACTTTACTCTGTGATTAAATACAGTTACATGCGTTCTGTTGCAAGACTGGTGGGAGATTGGATTATAAAATATATCATAACCTTTGGGGACAGAGCTTTTGCCATTGCCGCCCCAACCCTCTGGAACTCACTCCCACTGCCCATTAGAAACTCTCACTCACTCCAAACTTTAAATCAAAACCCATCTTTTCAAACAAGCTTTTCCTTAAACCCCTTTTTATTATTGTATTCTACTCCCCATGTGAAGTGTCTTTGAGTGTCCAAAAAAGCGCTATACAAGTTTGATGTATTATTATTATTATTATTAATAATCAGATGACGGTTAAATCCATTAAAATGTCATTACTAATCACAAACAGCATTGTGTAGGCACGTTTTAAAGATTGCACCTGCCTGTAAAAGGTTGAATTAGGTGCTCATTTCTAAGTCAGATTTGCCAATAAAACAATTGGTGATGTGCACTTTTATAATACTTTCTCATGAAGTACAAGTACAGGAATGTCTACTCAAAAATACAGTACTTTCAATAATGCATGTAGCAGAATACTCCACCCCTGCTAGCATGAATCGTTTTTACCATTAATGTAAATCAGATCTGTTCCCGTGTGTAAATATTGGGCTGTTTCTCCTCTTGGTTATGCGTTGCAGTAGTCAATAATTGCACCACATACATTTTATTTAAATAATCCGAAAGTCACTGCTCGTATGGAATGCTTTTATTCAGTGCCAACAAGTGTCAGTTATGGTTTAACATGTGCTTAAAGATTTAACATTGAACTCAATTATAGAGCATTAATTCTACAAACGATGACATGTTATGAAAGTTATGTCAAGAAATATAATCTATGAGTGCATCCTCTTGTGGCTTCCTTTCACATTACTCACATTACTCAGATTGAGATTATAGAATGACTGATTAATTGTGAGAATAATTGGTTACAGACAGGATTAGTGCCGAGCGTTTGTGCTGCGTGGACAGTGTTCTCGGCTCTGACCTGCTGAGAGCGACTGCGCACCAGCACTTCTCTTATGTATTATTGACTGTCAGTATCTAAATATAAAGACTGCTGCTGAGGAGCTGCACAATGGACGTCCAAAGACTCCTTTCTCCGTCAGCGCTGTGTCCTTGAGCGATCCATACGTATTAATAACCAGACTATACGGCTGCTATTCAACACCAAAGGAAATGTATGACCACACAAAATATACAATCAGTTTTGCTCAGTACAATATTTCTGTAGACATTGAAAAGCTGTACGCAACTTTCAGTCTGCAGAAACTCAATCATATGTTTGTGTAAATGAAACGTTAAAAGGATGTAATGGAGCATAGAATAATTCATATCATAATGTAAATATGATGGAGCACCTGCAGGACAAGTGCCTGTCAGGTTTGTAGATCAGTTATGAAACGTATGAATGTCATGAAAATTACATCTCTAGTTAATTATAGTTATGTCTTGGGCTTTAAATAAATTGTAACCTGTAGTTCGGAAGTGTTTCTATCATTAAGTATTCCCATTCTTGGACAATGAACTAGTTTTGTGACACAATTGAATCTCAATGGTATTTTAAAGGCTAGTATGAAAAAATATGTTTAGGGGCGCGCCTTTGTTATCAGTTGTTTTAAACTATTCCAAAATTGGGAGTAAAAACACATAATGACTGTAGATATTTGTCTTTCTAACCTACATGGTAGAGTATAATCTATTGGGACTACTGCAGTAAGTGTAATTTCATGTTAGTGACAAAAAAACATGTCTTTTGACCGAGCAGCCTAAGTTCAGTGTAGACGGTAAACAAAATCCAGTAGCCTTCATATTTGAGCCATTCAATCTTAATGACATGACTTATGAAATGTCAATAATTATTTCTGAAGACAGGTTTGCGCCCAACCAGTCGTGATGTTTTGTTTGACAGAGATGTATTGCGCAGTCCTTCACAGGTAGTCCACACAAGGTCACACTGGGCAGACTGTGTTCCAATGAGTGAGTTGATTTGCGGTGACAGTTGTATCCTCGTGAGGGTGTGCAAACGCAGAGTCCAGGCCACAGTTCATCCTCTCTCTTCATAAATGTGACGCACAGTAAAGACACGGCGCCAGCGCAGCTCCTGCAGTGAGCCGCTGGGCGTGTATGGCTCTGAGTGTATGGGTGAATGAGGCAGATTTCTAAATAGACAGAATTTTTACAGCAGTTTGTCAAAGCTTTAGAATGTCATGTGTAAATACAAACAGGTTAAAATAATGAATTCAGATATTCTGGAGTTTTTTCACGTAAATGAATCAGTCGTTACCCTTAAAAATGTCATGTGCGACCGTCAATTACCTTAAAATATATTAATTTATTCAGCATAACTTTTTTTTTTCATACAAGGTCTTAGTAATATAATGTCTAGAAACTAATTGTATAGATGTATGTAGAATGTTCATACATGCAGATATAATCATTATTCCATTAAAGTAGTGGCATATATGCAGTGGTGATCATACCGGATGGACAACATGTAAGTCTAACATAAAACATTAGCGAAGCATTCACCTCTTGTATGATTCTAACATGAGCTAAGACGTATTGTAGATCAGACGTTTAGCTTCACGATGCTAGTAGTGCTTATTGTTGATCGTTCTCCAGGAAAGGATTGTCAAACCAATGCATGGACCCCCAACATGTAGTGGACTGTCGCATGCATTCAGTCTTGAAGAAACTGCAGCAGTCCACCACTCGCTGTAGGTGCACGGTCCTCATATTTAAACCCTTTTGATATAAATTATTAAAGGAATCAGGAGAAATGTGGAAGCTTTTAGCCCCAAATGTGACCCGTGTTCACCCAAACTCTGCTTGTGACATAACCTGCAGCCTCCTTCAGACCAGTGTGAAGGAGCTGCGTGTGTGCTGCGTGTGTGCTGCCCCTGAGGACGTCTGGCGCATTCTGAGCCTGTGAACATTTTGGGAGCGGCGCAGTGCCAGGCATCTCGTCCAAGTGTTTATCTAATGAAATATTTGTGCCTTGTGGCTCCGTGCAGTGGGACAATATCCAACACTTGTGCTTTGTACTCTCCGTAAAAGGTGAAATGTGTCAAACAGACGGAAGCTCGTCACAGTCTCTGACAATATGTTGTTAGTGCGGCCTCCACTCAGACTAGACTAGAGTGTAGACTAATGCTTAAGCGGATGCTGCTGTTGGACTGGTGTAGTGTAACCCGTGAGAGTGAAGCCGTGCTCCTGCCTGTGTGGAGCTAATGCTATAACTGAGCCTGAACAATGGGTTTCCAAGAATGTGCAGAGTTATAAGGGCCTTGCCTGGACATGAGCAGTGTGGTGTGATACCGACATGTTTTATCTCTGATGCCTGCAGTGCACATGTGTTGACAGGTCTGTTTTTGGTGAAGACACAGGTCGTCTCTTCGTCACCAGATGTAGTTTAGTGCAGTTTTTTTTTTAAGTTTGATTTGTAGTTAGGTTTCAGACGTTGCTCTTCTTTTGTCTGGGGCTGTCGTCCCTGTGGCCTGAGCAGAGTGGTTCAGCGTGCTCTCCTCTCTCTCCGTCATGTGCTGACCTGATGCTGCTGCTGTTTGATCTAACACAGTCTTCTGTCACGTTTCAGAGTCTCCTCCCCTCTGTCATGGCAGTCAGACTGTGCGATGTGGCCTCTCTGCTTAGGAGCGGGTCGTGGGCGCCTGAGCCTTGGACTGGGGTCTGTGGCACATTTCTTTAATTATCTCAGTGCTCAGGCCATACCAATGACTATAGTTTGCTAAATTACGTAAGCCGTGACTGTATTGGTATGGTCTCATGCAGTGTGTGTATTGCTAGCTGCTTGTGGCGTCCTCCTGGTGCACGTGCTGATCTAAAGGATGTCTCTTCACACATTCACCGCTGTTGTCTTGAGGCTGCTGTGGCTGCACACCGCGCTGCTTTCTCTTCTGCTCCTCAGTGTACACATCCAATCTCACAAATCACTTTTTACACAAATGAATTCACATGTAAGCCTCCTGCTGTGTCTTCATATGGATAATGCACCGTCTTAGTGTAAATGTCTGAAGAGCGTCCTTTTAGCCAGTGCCAGAGCCTCCGCTGCAGAGCCTGGTTTGACTTTTCTGCTTTTGTCTCTTTAGCAGGTAATTGCTGCCATGGAAACACAGCTGTCCAACGGGCCCACATGCAACAACACAAGCAACGGCCCGTCCACAATCTCCAACAACTGCTCCTCCCCCGTGGAGTCGGGCAGCATCGAGGACAGCAAGACCAATTTGATCGTCAACTACCTGCCTCAGAACATGACACAGGAGGAGCTAAAGAGCCTGTTCGGCAGCATCGGAGACATAGAGTCGTGTAAACTGGTGCGGGACAAGATCACAGGTAACAACGGGTTTGTGCGTTGTGCATTTTGAGTAAATAATAACTTCAAGATAGACATTTTAAAAAGTCAACATGAAGCAATTGTGGATGAGGTGTACACAGTTCCGCAAATTAATCATTTCAGTATTTTTACGGTGCCAATAGCGATTACTTTGCCTTCTAGACCATTTCTGGGGCTGCCAATTTTTCTATTGCTTGAACGATTATGGTTTTAAATCCACTTTAAACAACTGGTTTAAATGTAAACGCTCATACATGGAGCCCATAAGCCTTTAAAGTGTTGTATAGAGAATGTTTTGTATTGTAATGCTGCAGTTATTCTAAAATGTTGGTCTGGATTCTCTGTATTCAACATTGTCCACCACTTGAATTGTGTCAAATATTTTTGTATTGAGGCTTTCTGATTTATTTTTGATGATAATTGGCTTAAATATTTTGTTTGTAAATGTGGGTGATTTGTCATATGTTTTTGCGTTTCCACCCGACCAATAGGGGCTGCATGTTGGTGTCGTACATGTGTGTGTGAGTAGTTGGTCTTCTGTGATCAGAGGAGGAGCTGGTTTAAGGCTCTCGTGCTCATAATGTTGTGTACAAGTATTGTCTCATTTTAAGTTGGAGGAAGTGGTGAACTGAGACACTGAGCAGCTGCTGTCTCCTGATGAGCACATGTTGATCTAATCACTGAATGAGGCCCTGTAAAGTTTAAAATCACATTCCAGTTGCTTATGCAGTAGTCTAATGTGCTGAGGCAGCCGGAGCTGTTGAACTTGACCAGTGCAGATTGTGTGGAGACCTGTGTGTGGGAGGAGGATATTGAATTGGCTCTGTGCTCGTCGAGTGGGTGTCAATCTATTGTACAGTTTGAAGATAAACCGAGCAGCTGAAGGCTTCTGCTGCCGGGCGAGCAGCGTGAGGGTGTGTTCAGGACTGGTAAACGTCTGTGTCTGTTCTGACAAATACCTCTGGTTTCAGGTCAGAGTCTGGGCTATGGTTTTGTTAACTACGTGGATCCTAAAGATGCAGAAAAGGCCATAAATACCTTAAATGGGTTGCGGCTTCAGACCAAAACTATCAAGGTAAGACTTTGTGCTTCTTCTAAACCTCTTATGTGTTAATATAGTGAAGTTTTTATATGTGCACAAAGCACAAAAGCTCAAACATGACGTTTTTTGATGCGTCACTCTCGGGAATCACAGGAATATACCAACCCACCTGCCGCCTTCGCTCGGCCGATTCCAACCAGTCCCATCACCCGCACAAACCGCCCAGTGGAGGCGGGTCCCGACTCAAAAGTGGCCAAAATGACGTCCCCTGACATGCTGCAATACCACCCCGGGCCGATGGGGGTGGACCCAGTAGAATTAGCCAATGCTAACATATAGCATTAGCTGACCTCTGGAGAACGTCTTTACAGGATGGACCAAAAGTTGTCTCTTGGTCCAAAGCTCCGTTCCACATGTGTGTCAATGCTGAGTGTTCTGGACCAGTCTAGTTTAGTCGCTGTGAATTTTTGAAGGCTCTCGTTTAAATGAATGGAGCTCGTGCAGCTGACTCATGCGCAGATGCGTTTTTTTCACAATTTTTTTGTGGGCGGGACCACTCGCGGCCATTTTGGATAGCTCCAGTAGAGCACAATTTTTGGCCCATTAGTTTGAACAGCGGAGATAGGCGTGACTCTGTCCTTTAATATTTACAGTCTATGAAACTGCCCCAACCCTCTGGAACTCCCTCCCACTGGCATTAGAAACTCTGACTCACTACCAAACTTTAAATCCGTCTCAAAACCCATCTTTTCAAACAAGCTTTTCCTTAAACCCCTTTTTTTTTATTTTATTGTATTCTGTTCCCTTGTGAAGTGTCTTTGAGTGCCCAAAAAAGCGCTATACAAGTTTTATTATTTGTAGTTTTAAGTTTGTATTATTATTATTACTTAACACATATCGGTGTTGGATGAAGATCTGCCCCTGACTGCACTAAAGCAGTTGTTTCTGGTCTCCTCAGGTGTCGTACGCTCGGCCAAGCTCCGCCTCAATCAGAGATGCAAACTTGTACGTCAGCGGTTTACCAAAAACAATGACACAGAAAGAACTGGAGCAGCTGTTCTCTCAGTACGGCCGCATCATTACCTCACGTATCCTGGTGGACCAGGTCACCGGTGAGTTCAGACACAGTTTGACTGAAGTTGCTTTATGTCTGTGGTTAAATGTGTTAAATGTGTGTCGCAGGCGTCTCCAGAGGAGTGGGGTTCATTCGCTTCGACCGGCGAGTGGAGGCAGAGGAAGCCATCAAAGGGCTCAACTGTCAGAAGCCGCCCGGTGCCACGGAGCCCATCACGGTCAAGTTCGCCAACAACCCAAGTCAGAAGACGAGCCAGGCTCTGCTGTCGCAGCTCTACCAGTCGCCCAATCGAAGGTACCCAGGGCCCCTCGCACAGCAGGCACAGCGCTTCAGGTAACGGGGCACACCAGAGCACAGTGCTGCAGACAGACCATCCATCTGCACATCCCACTGCTCTACACGCCAACTCTGCTGCTACTCTGTAACTACTCCAAACTCTATACCGTTGTGTTCAGAATAGAAGTGTGCTTAAACCTGAATAAAGCGAACAGACTCAGGGGAACTTCAGACTGTCTTTGAGCTCCCTGGAGTCTTTCCATTCTGGCTATTCTTCAATCCATTTCAAAGATAGTCCTACGTTTTCTTCCACTGTCTCTGGTTTAGCTTTCCATGTTTAAGCATTGGAAATCATCAGCCTGTCATCTTCTGCACTCTGTTTCCCCCTCTTCAATCAACGCTTTAATCAAAGTGCTGTTCTGAAACGTGAAGGTCTAAACGTGTACTGGCTTCATCCTTCAGGGACGCCTGATTGACACTTTCCCAGAATGCATTATCACTGTATTAGTGAATTGATTCAAAAAATAAAACAATGTGCTTTATTCAAGATTTTAAACACACTATTATTTTGGACACAGCTGTAAGTGTAAACATAGTGTGAGTACACGTAGTGTGAGTACATGTGTGCCCCACCCTCCCTCAAACACACGCACACAATTACACACGCACACAATTACACACGCACAGCCTCTGCCACACTGCTGTTACTCATCTGTGCCATGTTGTCATCATTCATCAGCTGATCACCTCCTGTGGCTCTAATGCACATGACTCCCTCTCTTTCTCTCCTCAGGCTGGACAATCTGCTCAACATGGCCTATGGAGTCAAAAGGTAAACAATATGTGAAGCAGCACTTTAATTTACTTGGCACAATCACAAAAGACTGCACTGGTGCTATTGCACAAAGTTACATTATTGTATCACTCACCTTGATCTATTATGGACACCAGCTGCCTCTTTAAACAGTGTTGCATCAGAAGCTTTCAATATGGCGTTTGGCGTTTGGCCGAGCGCTGAGGACACCTGCGTGTGCACTGCCCTCACCAGACGTCCTGTGAATCAGCTTCATGTGTGCGTTTTTCAAACAATTACATGGAGAATGTTTGCACATGCAAAACACATTGATAAATATTTGATAACATGGTGGCATACGTTTTATTTATGAAATGTGTAGCATTTTTAGTCTAAACCTAAAACGCTGCAGTGATAAAATGGACCGAGCTGTATCTTCTGACAGAACGTCTGTTATCCAGCAAATGAAAAAGTAGAATCAGCGTTTTACATTTGATGAGGCCCCATGCATGGGCTTGCGTCGTTTAGCTTTAACGATGTTTCCATGGAGCGCTGCTGAGACAACGCTGAGAATGTAGCAGAACAGTGGTGAGAGGAAAAGGCCTCGAGGTTAATTAGTAAATCTCTCGCCGCCAAAGAAATTGTGGAAAATGTGGCTTTGGGACCAGGAGCCTAATAATAAGGTCAGAAGTTTCAGATAGTGTGTGATAATCTGCTCAAATGTAAGATGCAAAGTTGAATTCTCTCAACGGGTGATCCAAAATGTTTCATCATAATAATGCATCTTACTTGTATCGTTCTTTTTGTACTTCATGCAGACTGTGGTGTGCCAGTATTGACATAGATTTGTTGTCATACTGTAAGGTGGAATAGGGATTACTTTTGACTCTAGGAACAGTGATTTTACCATTTTGACTCTCCCTCGCTGCACCACAGACTAAAGTCAAATGGAAAAATATTCAAACCCATTTTTATTTAGAGTACAACCTTATTCAGTCTCAGTTTCACTTAAGTACAACCCATTCCTTTCAGAAGTGTCCTGGTGATTTGTCTAATGATGAGTGAACTATGAAGTAGATGTGTATTGTAAAGTAAAGGTTTTATTTTCATGAATCACTAATACTGTAGGCAGTGACTGGACTGTGTCTGGAGCAGGAGGCAGAGGGCAAACAGTCAGGTCCTGCCCGTCCACTCGCTTTCATCAAATGTGTGATGGCAGAACAAGGCCACGCTGTACTGGTGTTGCTGCTGACACCAGGACTGTTGGAGCTGCTCCGCCATAACACACGGCATTCACGGGGGATCAGTGATGGATCAGTGGGGGATCACGGATCCACCAGTGGATCAGTGGTGGATCAGTGGGGGATCACGGTGGATCACGGATCCACCAGTGGATCAGTGGGGGATCACGGTGGATCAGTGGGGGATCACGGTGGATCAGTGGGGGATCACGGTGGATCAGTGGGGGATCACGGTGGATCAGTGGGGGATCACGGTGGATCAGTGGGGGATTAGTGGGGATCACGGTGGATCAGTGGGGGATCAGTGGGGGATCAGTGGGGGATCACGGTGGATCAGTGGGGGATCATGGGGGATCAGTGGTGGATCACGGTGGATCAGTGGGGGATCATGGGGGATCAGTGGTGGATCACGGTGGATCAGTGGGGGATCATGGGGGATCAGTGGTGGATCACGGTGGATCACGGTGGATCAGTGGGGGATCACGGTGGATCAGTGGGGGATCAGTGGTGGATCAGTGGTGGATCACGGTGGATCACGGTGGATCAGTGGGGGATCAGTGGTGGATCAGTGGGGGATCAGTGGGGGATCAGTGGGGGATCAGTGGGGGATCAGTGGTGGATCAGTGGGGGATCAGTGGGGGATCAGTGGGGGATCAGTGGGGGATCAGTGGGGGATCATGGTGGATCAGTGGGGGATCATGGGGGATCAGTGGTGGATCACGGTGGATCACGGTGGATCAGTGGGGGATCAGTGGTGGATCAGTGGTGGATCAGTGGGGGATCAGTGGGGGATCAGTGGGGGATCACGGTGGATCAGTGGGGGATCATGGGGGATCAGTGGTGGATCACGGTGGATCAGTGGGGGATCATGGGGGATCAGTGGTGGATCACGGTGGATCATGGGGGATCAGTGGTGGATCACGGTGGATCAGTGGGGGATCACGGTGGATCAGTGGGGGATCAGTGGTGGATCACGGTGGATCACGGTGGATCAGTGGGGGATCAGTGGTGGATCACGGTGGATCAGTGGGGGATCAGTGGTGGATCACGGTGGATCAGTGGGGGATCATGGGGGATCAGTGGTGGATCACGGTGGATCATGGGGGATCAGTGGTGGATCACGGTGGATCAGTGGGGGATCACGGTGGATCAGTGGGGGATCAGTGGTGGATCACGGTGGATCACGGTGGATCAGTGGGGGATCAGTGGTGGATCAGTGGTGGATCAGTGGTGGATCAGTGGGGGATCAGTGGGGGATCAGTGGGGGATCAGTGGGGGATCAGTGGTGGATCACGGTGGATCACGGTGGATCAGTGGGGGATCAGTGGTGGATCAGTGGTGGATCAGTGGTGGATCAGTGGGGGATCAGTGGGGGATCAGTGGTGGATCAGTGGTGGATCAGTGGGGGATCAGTGGGGGATCAGTGGTGGATCAGTGGTGGATCACGGTGGATCAGTGGTGGATCACGGTGGATCAGTGGTGGATCAGTGGTGGATCAGTGGTGGATCAGTGGGGGATCACGGTGGATCAGTGGGGGATCACGGTGGATCAGTGGGGGATCACGGTGGATCAGTGGGGGATTAGTGGGGATCACGGTGGATCAGTGGGGGATCAGTGGGGGATCACGGTGGATCAGTGGGGGATCATGGGGGATCAGTGGTGGATCACGGTGGATCAGTGGGGGATCATGGGGGATCAGTGGTGGATCACGGTGGATCAGTGGGGGATCATGGGGGATCAGTGGTGGATCACGGTGGATCACGGTGGATCAGTGGGGGATCACGGTGGATCAGTGGGGGATCAGTGGTGGATCAGTGGTGGATCACGGTGGATCACGGTGGATCAGTGGGGGATCAGTGGTGGATCAGTGGTGGATCAGTGGGGGATCAGTGGGGGATCAGTGGGGGATCAGTGGTGGATCAGTGGTGGATCAGTGGGGGATCAGTGGGGGATCAGTGGTGGATCAGTGGTGGATCAGTGGTGGATCAGTGGGGGATCAGTGGGGGATCAGTGGTGGATCAGTGGGGGATCAGTGGGGGATCAGTGGGGGATCACGGTGGATCAGTGGGGGATCATGGGGGATCACGGTGGATCAGTGGGGGATCATGGGGGATCAGTGGTGGATCACGGTGGATCAGTGGGGGATCAGTGGTGGATCAGTGGGGGATCAGTGGGGGATCAGTGGGGGATCATGGGGGATCACGGTGGATCAGTGGGGGATCATGGGGGATCAGTGGTGGATCACGGTGGATCAGTGGGGGATCATGGGGGATCAGTGGTGGATCACGGTGGATCATGGGGGATCAGTGGTGGATCACGGTGGATCAGTGGGGGATCACGGTGGATCAGTGGGGGATCAGTGGTGGATCACGGTGGATCACGGTGGATCAGTGGGGGATCAGTGGGGGATCAGTGGTGGATCACGGTGGATCAGTGGGGGATCATGGGGGATCAGTGGTGGATCACGGTGGATCATGGGGGATCAGTGGTGGATCACGGTGGATCAGTGGGGGATCACGGTGGATCAGTGGGGGATCAGTGGTGGATCACGGTGGATCACGGTGGATCAGTGGGGGATCAGTGGTGGATCAGTGGTGGATCAGTGGTGGATCAGTGGTGGATCAGTGGGGGATCAGTGGGGGATCAGTGGGGGATCAGTGGGGGATCAGTGGTGGATCACGGTGGATCAGTGGGGGATCAGTGGTGGATCAGTGGTGGATCAGTGGGGGATCAGTGGGGGATCAGTGGTGGATCAGTGGTGGATCAGTGGGGGATCAGTGGGGGATCAGTGGTGGATCAGTGGTGGATCACGGTGGATCAGTGGTGGATCACGGTGGATCAGTGGTGGATCACGGTGGATCAGTGGTGGATCAGTGGTGGATCAGTGGTGGATCAGTGGGGGATCACGGTGGATCAGTGGGGGATCACGGTGGATCAGTGGGGGATCTCGGTGGATCAGTGGGGGATCTCGGTGGATCAGTGGGGGATCAGTGGGGGATCAGTGGTGGATCAGTGGGGGATCAGTGGTGGATCACGGTGGATCAGTGGTGGATCACGGTGGATCAGTGGGGGATCTCGGTGGATCAGTGGGGGAATCTCGGTGGATCAGTGGGGGATCACGGTGGATCAGTGGTGGATCAGTGGGGGATCTCGGTGGATCAGTGGGGGATCTCGGTGGATCAGTGGGGGATCTCTGTGGATCAGGATCTCGGTGGATCAGTGGGGGATCACGGTGGATCACGGGTGGATCACGGTGGATCAGTGGTGGATCAGTGGGGGTATCACGGTGGATCAGTGGTGGATCACGGTGGATCACGGGTGGATCAGTGGTGGATCAGTGGTGGATCACGGTGGATCACGGTGGATCAGTGGGGGATCACGGTGGATCACTGGGGGATCACGGTGGATCACGGTGGATCAGTGGTGGATCAGTGGGGGATCAGTGGTGGATCACGGTGGATCACGGTGGATCAGTGGGGGATCACGGTGGATCAGTGGGGGATCAGTGGTGGATCAGTGGTGGATCAGTGGTGGATCAGCGGTGGATCAGTGGGGGATCACGGGTGGATCAGTGGGGGATCAGTGGTGGATCACGGGTGGATCACGGTGGATCAGTGGTGGATCAGTGGTGGATCAGTGGTGGATCAGTGGTGGATCACGGGTGGATCAGCGGTGGATCAGCGGTGGATCACGGGTGGATCAGCGGGGGATCAGTGGTGGATCACGGGTGGATCACGGTGGATCAGTGGTGGATCAGTGGTGGATCACGGGTGGATCAGCGGGGGATCACGGGTGGATCACGGTGGATCAGTGGTGGATCAGTGGTGGATCACGGGGGATCAGTGGGGGATCACGGTGGATCAGTGGTGGATCACGGGGGATCAGTGGTGGATCACGGGGGATCAGTGGTGGATCACGGGGGATCAGTGGTGGATCACGGGTGGATCAGTGGGGGATCACGGTGGATCAGTGGTGGATCACGGGTGGATCAGTGGGGGATCAGTGTGGATCACGGTGGATCACGGGGGATCAGTGGGGGATCACGGTGGATCAGTGGGGGATCTCGGTGGATCACGGGGGGATCACGGTGGATCACGGTGGATCACGGGGGATCAGTGGTGGATCACGGGGGATCAGTGGGGGATCAGCGGTGGATCAGTGGGGGATCTCGGTGGATCAGTGGGGGATCTCGGTGGATCACGGGGGGATCAGCGGGGGATCACGGTGGATCAGCGGTGCAGTAGATCACAGTAGCTCAGTGGCAAAGCTCGCATACTGCATAAAAATGATGTAATCAGAGTTGTAAATCCCCCACTGCCCCTGGACTGACCTGACGGACACATAGTTGTGGAAACACTGTTTATCAAAACAGGCCAAAGAACTTTACCGAGCCTTTACATATTTTATCAATGCATTCATTTAATTTCTTTGAGTTTGATCTTGAGCGATCTTAAAATGGCAATCACAATTTTATCACAATTCCATAATTACAGCTGTTATTGTTCCACAATAAGTTACTTAATGTGGGCTTTTTCAAATGTACATTTGCACGTCACACTTTTAAGGCTTTTTAAAGTTTTTTTCTGATTCAAGCCCTAATTGATTTATTACACAATTATTCAATTAACCATTCTTCGATTACAAATCTGTTTTATCTAAGTAAGTAGTAGTAAGTAATCTTTATTTATATACCGCCTTTTCACTGCAGATCTGAGTCTCAAAGCGGTTTACAATTGTTAATTTTTGGGCATTTGTCTCTCACTCCACACAGAGATGGGAGCGGGGCCAGTACAGGAGGCACATGCTAGAACAATTGGACATATTTTTAGTGGTGGAGGAAACCTACGCAGACACGGGGAGAACATGCAAACTCCACTCAGAAAGGCCCTGGTCCGACTGGGATTCGAACCCAGGACCTTCTTGCTGAGAGGCGAGAGTGCTATCCACTCAGCCACTAAACAATTAATGTATGAATCTACTTAAAATTATGAAATGTGGACAGATTGCACATTAAGCCAGAGAATTAATTAAAAACACTTGATGCATTTAGGATGTGGATATTACAAATATAATGCATATAAAATATGAATCTGTTAAATATGCTGTAACGGTGTAAAAACAGAGATTGTGATCTACAGCACTAGAATTCATGTTGTTTTTTTCACTCATTGAATGTGGATTGGATATTTTTTCAAGACGCTGTGTATATAATATATTTATATTTGTATATAGTGTATATATTGTGTGTGCTCCCTGTGTGCTCTTAGTACTGTCCTATATGTGCGATGCAACATCGAAATTTCCCCACTGTAGGACGAATAAAGGAATTCTTATCTTATAACCTGAACTGTAGATAACCTGAACTGTAGATGACCTGAACTGTAGATGACCTGAACTGTGTATGACCTGAACTGTAGATGACCTGAACTGTAGATGACCTGAACTGTAGATGACCTGAACTGTGTATGACCTGAACTGTGTATGACCTGAACTGTAGATGACCTGAACTGTAGATGACCTGAACTGTGTATGACCTGAACTGTAGATGACCTGAACTGTGTATGACCTGAACTGTAGATGACCTGAACTGTAGATGACCTGAACTGTGTATGACCTGAACTGTAGATGACCTGAACTGTAGATGACCTGAACTGTAGATGACCTGAACTGTAGATGACCTGAACTGTAGATGACCTGAACTGTAGATGACCTGAACTGTAGATGACCTGAACTTTAAGCAAGACATTTAGAAATGTCCTATATATATTTTCTTTACCATTTACACTAAATGTGGAATTAAAACTGGAATTATGTTTTTACTCAACTTTAGATGGAGGCCGGATAGATATTTTTAAGACTAATAATGGTCAGCCCAGTCTGGGTCCATGGTCTCTTCACCTGGTGCCTGACTTCATGGTTCTGTATGTGTCTATGTGTAACTGTGCTCATGTGTCCACAGCCGCTTCTCTCCGATGGCCATCGATGGCGTGACGAGCCTGGCGGGGATAAACCTCCCGGGCCACGCCGGCACGGGCTGGTGCATCTTTGTCTACAACCTGGCGCCCGACGCAGACGAGAGCATCCTGTGGCAGATGTTTGGGCCCTTTGGAGCCGTCACCAACGTCAAAGTCATCCGCGACTTCAACACAAACAAATGCAAAGGATTTGGGTTCGTCACCATGACTAACTACGACGAGGCGGCGGTGGCTATTGCCAGTTTAAACGGATATCGTCTCGGCGACCGCGTGCTGCAAGTGTCGTTCAAAACCAACAAAACACACAAAGCCTGATGTGACTGAAGGAGACTGGACTCTTTCTACACGAAGCTTCGTAAAGTTGGATTCACCACATATTTAGCTTCGAGCCACATTACTTTCTGTTCTTCTTGCTATGCTTTGGATCTAGAGAAAAGAGGCGTCGGCGCTGGGCCTGGCGCTGATGGACCGTCTGGACTGGATTAAACTGGTTTAGTCTTGTACTTTTGTGCGGTGCTTTGAGTTGTGTCTGTCGGTTTTGCCTTTAGGGTCTTTGGTGGTTAGAATGTCCTTCTTTTCACATATTTGCCGTTAAGTTGATTTGTAAGTATTCTGTTGTATTATGACTTGGTTATTGGTTGGCTGCATAATGTTGCATATTGTAAACTTATGGACAAAGACAAAAAAAAATTCTTAAGCAGTACCTTGCCAAAGAGCTAAGAACCTCTTTGATGTGGGTTTAAAAGCATCTATTTTTATAAAAAGAAAAATTTGGAGAAACTTTTTACTGGACCTGGAACAAAATATTTTGACTTGGGATACTTTGAGAAATATCTTCATATGACACCTTGTGAGCTTTTGAACTTTACAAGAAAGTTTGCAGCGGTTGAAATTTCTGGAGAGATTTATGATGTAAAAGATACTTTTGAGATGTTTGTATTCTCTTAGATTCTAGATCAATGGCAGTGCTGGTTTCATTAGTAAATCCTCTGTGTCACTGTTGGCGCCTCAAAACGCTGATGTAGACAAACGTGAAGTGAGTTCTTAGGACACACAGGACACTCTGAGCTTTGAGCTGTAAATAATATTTATGTTTGACTATTGGGCCACTTTCAGTTCTACTTTCTACTTGATTGAAAAGTGATTCTGTATTTCTTTTAAAAATGTCTCTTGGTTTAAATATTTATAAGATTTAGTTTTCATTTGGCCTTTGAACCTGATTTGTCCTCTGGACTTGCATTAAGTGCATCAGTTTGTTGGTTGTTTGGTCTGTAGATAGTCTTGCTTCGTAAAAAAAAAAAAAAGTATTAAACTATAGACATTTGTTTTTTTATATATAAACATTATAGATATATATTTATGTGGTACAGAATGGATATAAACCACAGTTTGATTACTTTGTTTTCATACTCATATATATACGTAATGCATATAACCTGTCTTTAAAATGGTAAAAGTGTATATTGCTTTAATCACTTTGGGAGACGGTGAATCATAACGAGGAGCTGATGCAGAGGAGCCGCTTCCCGCCGCCGTGTGCTATGCATTCTAGTTCTGCTTTCCTCAGTTTCTTTGTGTTTGTTGTAAAGTCTCGATGAGCTGCTGCGAGGTGGGACCCTCAGTTTGAGCTTTAACATTTGTGTTTTCTAAATAATGCTTTGATTTGGTCAAACTCCGGTAACTGTGGCTCCCACCTCTTCTCTCAATTCTTAATGTGAGAATGATTATTTATTTGGAGTTGTAATGTCTGACTTGGTTCACATTTTTGAATAGAATAATTTTGAATATTTAAAGAGGATGTACGTGTTATTTACTTTGTGTTTAAATACTTTTTCATGTTCAGTACATCAATAAATATAAGTTGAAGGGCAATGCAGTTTTGGATGTCTTTAATTCTCATGTTTCTGTGATATAGAATAGTTTTAAAGTTTTTTCAGCCGCTAAATACTTCAGAGCTCAAGGGTTTTACTAAGAACGACTTTATATTAGTTTGATTTGAACTTTAAGAAAGCAGAGAAACTGTATAATTGGACTATTGCCTCAAAAGAGATCTTGTGTTGCTAATTTAGTACTGTTGAGTCAGTATTTGAGTCCCACATGTCTAATCCAAGACGTTACGCAAAACTAAAGTGGTTCAGATTTAACAATGTCCAACCAGGAAGTAACTTTATGAAATGTACCAAACTTTACCCTTTTCACTCATAGTTAAGATGGATATAATCTGCCCTGTAAGTTTTTCAAAGTTATGTTTTGGCCGCATCCAAATTCAACAAAAAACGATCGACTTTGACTGTTTTTAGAATGAACTTTTTATGAGATTGTTCAGTGAAATGTTACCTTTTATACACTGCAAAAAATGATCAAATGAGAGAATTGCTTGAATCGAGCTGACGAGATTTGCCAACGAGACGAACAATTTTGACTTGATTCAAGAACTATTGCTTGATTTTTCTCATTCCAAGAGAGAAATGTCTTGTACCTTTTTAAAACAGGATTATCCAGTGGAACAAGAAAAAATTGCTTGTTTTAAGGCTCAGTCAAAATGTGTTCAAAGTTAGATACATTTAGCCAAATTTGAGCATTTTTTTGCAGTGTAGGACGCCAAATGTACTGCCGTAGAGGTCCATGAAAGAGATTTGTTTTGGTAATGTAATATGTGGTCAGATTTGTGCTGAACTTTACAGTCAACCGTGTGTTTTTGATTATGAACAGAACAAAGTTATCACACATGATGGTAGAAGTTCTCGCAGACCCGATCTGATGCCCCAAGTCCCTCCTGCATAAATGTGTCTGGGGCAAACTACCAATCACAGCCTTTTATCCCAACACAGATTATTCATTTCTTGGTGTTCAGTGATTTGAGTTTCAGCAGATGAAAATTTAATTCATCATTTAAAAGATGGGGCGACAGTGGCTCAGTTGGTAGAGCATAAAGACCTACTTCACGACTCCCACTGATGACTGCTGTCGTTGTGTCCTTGGGCAAGGCACTTAAAACCACTTTGCCTGAAGCCCCCGCTGAAAGATCTCAGCTCCTGTGGACTCAGCACCTGCAGGAGGATCAGTGAGGGGCTGGTGCTCTGACTGCCACCCCCCCTGACCCAGAAATGGATTAAGGGGAAGAAGATGGATCGATGGATAATTTCAAAGATATTTAATTTATAAGCTGAAGCCAAAACATGACAAAGTAACATATGCCAAGCCTTTGTTTTGATTTAGTTTATTGTAGGGTTGGGTAGGGTAGGATAGAGTAGGGTGGGGTGGGGTAGGGTAGGGTAGGGTAGGGTAGGGTTGGGTATAGGATAGGGCAGGGTTGGGTTGGTGGAAACAGTACTTTTTCATTTCCCAGGAAAATGAATCTATTGCGACAAAACTGATCACAATTCCTTTCGCTAAAACTAACCTCAAAACTGTTCCGTTCGATTTGTGTTTTTCTAAGTTTTCCACCTCTGACAAAGTGCTGCATAATGGAATAAATAAACAGGAGCTAAAAACATGAACTGAAACAGGCCACAGTGGCTTCATTCAGCAGCCTCATGATCCCACACAGACGCTCTGTGTGTGCTGTGCTAACCTACATTTAAGGTGGATCCGTGCTCCTATGTAGGCCACAAGATAAACTGCTGATGTAGCAGCCGAGGTCATTTGCATATCCTCTGTCTCCTTTTTGATTTATGACGCCACCTTTTATGCTACAGTACAACCTGCTCCGCTGCGACAACAACAATGCAAGATTTACCAACTCACAAACTCAACTTTTTACAGCTGCTGGCTCTCCCTTCAGGCTGGGTTTGATTATGTCTCAGGTTTCAATAATGCAACACGGAGCACTTTTTATAGCCTGGCCCTAGACCCCCCCCCCAAGGTCGTCTGCGGAGCTTACGCCTTTCATACCGCAACACCAGCCTCTTGTGTGGTCAGTTTTCTCCAAACAGACTGCAGAAAGTGATGAAGTATAAGTAAAAAATAGCTCAAATTTGGCTTAATTTGAGCACATTTTGACTGCCTTAAAACAAGATGTGCAATAGAGACAAAGCAAAATGATCTTGTGTTGATAAGATGCAAGAAATGTCTCCCTTGGAATGAGAGGGGGAAATGGCCTTCTCCCATTGGCCAATCTTGTTTTAGGGCTGTCTGAATGTACACAAATTATGATGAAAACCACTTGATTTAAGCGTAGATAGTCCGAGCGTAGATAGTCCGAGCGTAGATAGTCCGAGCGCAGATAGTCCGAGCGTAGATAGTCCGAGCGTAGATAGTCCATAGTCCGAGCGTAGATAGTCCATAGTCCGAGCGTAGATAGTCCGAGCGCAGATAGTCCGAGCGTAGATAGTCCGAGCGCAGATAGTCCGAGCGTAGATAGTCCGAGCGTAGATAGTCCGAGCGTAGATAGTCCATAGTCCGAGCGTAGATAGTCCGAGCGTAGATAGTCCGAGTGTAGATAGTCCGAGCGTAGATAGTCCATAGTCCGAGCGTAGATAGTCCGAGCGTAGATAGTCCATAGTCCGAGCGTAGATAGTCCGAGCGTAGATAGTCCGAGCGTAGATAGTCCGAGTGTAGATAGTCCGAGCGTAGATAGTCCGAGCGTAGATAGTCCGAGCGTAGATAGTCCGAGCGTAGATAGTCCAAGCGTAGATAGTCCGATCGCAGATAGTCCGAGCTTAGATAGTCCGAGCGTAGATAGTCCGAGCGTAGATAGTCCGAGCGTAGATAGTCCGAGCTCAGATAGTCCGAGCTCAGATAGTCCGAGCTCAGATAGTCCGAGCGTAGATAGTCCGAGCGTAGATAGTCCGAGCGTAGATAGTCCGAGCGTAGATAGTCCGAGCGTAGATAGTCCGAGCTCAGATAGTCCGAGCGTAGATAGTCCGAGCGTAGATAGTCCGAGCTCAGATAGTCCGAGCGTAGATAGTCCGAGCGTAGATAGTCCGAGCTCAGATAGTCCGAGCGTAGATAGTCCAGCGCAGATAGTCCGAGCGTAGATAGTCCGAGCGTAGATAGTCCGAGCTCAGATAGTCCGAGCGTAGATAGTCCGAGCGCAGATAGTCCGAGCGTAGATAGTCCGAGCGTAGATAGTCCGAGCTCAGATAGTCCGAGCGTAGATAGTCCGAGCGTAGATAGTCCGAGCGTAGATAGTCCGAGCGTAGATAGTCCATAGTCCGAGCGTAGATAGTCCGAGCGTAGATAGTCCGAGCGTAGATAGTCCATAGTCCGAGCGTAGATAGTCCGAGCGTAGATAGTCCGAGTGTAGATAGTCCGAGCGTAGATAGTCCGAGCGCAGATAGTCCGAGCGTAGATAGTCCATAGTCCGAGCGTAGATAGTCCGAGCGTAGATAGTCCGAGTGTAGATAGTCCGAGCGTAGATAGTCCGAGCGCAGATAGTCCGAGCGTAGATAGTCCGAGCGTAGATAGTCCGAGCGTAGATAGTCCGAGCGTAGATAGTCCGAGCGCAGATAGTCCGAGCGCAGATAGTCCGAGCGCAGATAGTCCGAGCGTAGATAGTCCGAGCGTAGATAGTCCGAGCGTAGATAGTCCGAGCGTAGATAGTCCGATCGCAGATAGTCCGAGTTTAGATAGTCCGAGCGTAGATAGTCCGAGCACAGATAGTCCGAGCTCAGATAGTCCGAGCGTAGATAGTCCGAGCGTAGATAGTCCGAGCGTAGATAGTCCGAGGCGGTCCCGCAGGTCTCTCCCTCAGACCAGTCTCTCCAGAGGATACGATGTAACTAGCTCTGTTCAGGGCTTGGTTTCTTCTTTGATCATGTTGTAGCTTTAGTTCCTCTTCTCTTCCTCACTGTTGTGTGGTTTGGGCTGTTTTGCTGAGTCTGCAGTTACAGCCAGAGGAGTTATAGCCACTTATGCTAACATGCTACTGTGTTTAGCAGCGCTGTAGAGGCTAGAGGACGCAGCCTGTTCTGTGATTGGAGGAGAGCGGGCGTCACGCTAAGTCTCTACTCAGCACTTTTTACGCCTGAATTCATACACAGCTGAATCAATGAGCTCAAGTTTTACATTAGATTACGGATTATAATACAACTTGCATGTAGAAATGAGCATTTTCTTTTTAAATCGAGTATAGGTTCTTTAATAAAGTTACTTACAGATAGCGATACACTCTTCCTTACATTAAGAAAAAGTTCAGTGAAACACACAACTTTTGACTTTTTATAAAACTCTGTTGGGATGTACGACATGTGATATTTATGATCAAATTTGAGTACAGCAGCTTTAAAACCAGGATTAGAAGAGGACAAATCTAGGTCAACATCTGGATTCAACCTGAACTAGAGAGGAGTGGACTTTATAGAAACACATTCCAACTTTTTAAATTCAAAAACAGTATAACAATAGTTTGCACAGGTCATTAGGTGGGCCTATTGCATTATTTCACCCAGTTTAAGTAATATTTAATGTTGTATTATGGACAATATTTCTGATACAAGTTCTCAATTTCCAACCTGGTACCAAGCTCCGGCGATCCAAGATGGCGCCGTATTCAAATGAATGGTTTGTGCTCAGTGGCGCTTTGTGCCGGCACGGTCGCTGACATATTTGCGGAACTCGCCTGGAACTCGCAAAGATCTCTGGGAAACTCGCATGTATTTGGGCGTCGTCTGGTCCTCCCGGTTCTGCGAGGACCAGACGATCTCCCATGATGCGTGTACAGAGGGGCTCTGACCAATCAGAGGGCAGCGTTCTGACCAATCAGAGCTGATCATCAGGGCGGGAGTTAGAGCGGGAGCCAGACGGGCAGAGTTTGTGGCAGTAAAGTGTGGATTTAAAGAAAACCAAAGGATATAAGAAGAAAAAAAAGTTCAGGACGACAAGGGACACTAAAATCGCCACAAAATCTGACCTTTATGAACGCTGCAGGTTCTCTGTCAGGTTCTCTGTCAGGTTCTCTGTCAGGCTCTCTGTCAGGTTCTCTGTCAGGTTCTCTGTCAGGTTCTCTGTCAGGTTCTCTGTCAGCTGAGGTCGAGCTGTTTTAGTTTACATTGAGTTGTATGTGGAAAATGTCTGTGTAGCCCACGTGAATTTAGTCTGGTTCAGTCTGCAGTACCGCGAGAATCCCCCGAGCACATGGGTTCTTCAGCTACAAGCAGTAATACTCTATCCAGTTAATATTATAGATCCATGCCTGGGACCAGCACAACCCAAACTAAACCAAAACGACGCCAATATCAACCGAGCACGAGGCAAATACAAAAAGAGCACATCTGGACAGTGCGTCTGAGCGGCGGTGGCAGCGGCGGCGGCGGCGTGGCGGTAGCGGCGGCGGCGGCGTGGCGGTAGCGGCGGCGGCGGTAGCGGCGGCGGCGGCGGCAGCCACGAGGAGCTCTGGCACCTCCATCCCATAATGAGGCTGTGAAGAAAGAGCGGCAGATTAGAATAACAGCCTTAACTAATCCAGAACCGGCAGATGAGGCTCCATGTTCGGGGGAAACAGCGTGTCATTTCTCATTCTACTGCAAAAAAAAAATCTAAATAGAAGAAGAAGAAATCTCTCTCTCTCTCTCTCTCTCTCTCTCACCCCCCACGCGAAGAAAAGCCCTGAGAATAGTGGAAGTGGTGCGAAAACAGCACTCTCTCCTCCCTCCCCCGCCCGCCTCACCCCCCTCCCCTTCCCGCCTCACCCCCCTCCCCTGCCCGCCTCACCCCCCTCCCCCTCCCCTCCCTCTCGCTGTAGCACCAGTCGACAGAAGAGATCTACGCTCCGACTGTTGACTTTGGAAATCAAAGTGAGCCGCAGCTCGGAGGGAGACGGCTGCTGCTGATTGGTATTGACAAGTCTTGTTCTGTACATTTGGGTAAACAGAGGATTATTCACACACTTGTAGACACTGCTGCAGATATCCCTACGAGAGGTTTCAAAGGGACAGACGCCGACGGTCCAGTTTTTACATTTCAGGAAAGACAAGACGCTTTTCTCCTGTGTCCCAAGAGACCAACGGGATGGGCTGTGTGGGGGTTGCCTGTCTTTTTAGAGATGGATCAAAATGGTTTTTGTGTGACTGTTTTCAATGTTAGATTGAGATTTTTTTACATTTTTTTTTTAAAGGAGTAGCATGTAAAAATGTGGCCCAAAGTGGTACTGCAGCCTCTCCCACTCTCCCTGACTCAGGTTGCCAGATATGCAGACGAATCCAGCTGGGACCATAACAGCTGAATAGACAAGAGTTTTGTCAACAACAAATCTATAACCAACACCTTTTTCACAAAGATAGAAATCCTGGTTTTATTCCTTGTTTTGTCGTTAATGATTTGAGAATCATAACGAGACCTTTTTTAGTTCTGCGCCACATGGTACTTTACCAGTGAGATTATCTCCACGCGGTGAGTTCTGGCAACAAGGATCACGGACTTTCTGATTTGTGAAACGGTGGAGGGCGGGACATCAAAATGAAAACAACAAGAATTAGGGGCTGGAAAAGTAATTTTGAAGTGATTGTGATCATGATTGTTCCCGGCTCTCAGACAAATCTTAGTCAGAGTTGATTGTAAGAAAGTTTTATGTACAGGATATCTTCAGTATTAAATGTTATTATATAAACAAGTACATTCTGAGACTAATATTACACTCTAAATGTGTTGATTTTGTTAAAACACACACACTTATTCACAGTTATAAAAATGTGTATGCTCCCACAGAAATACATTATAAAGTAAAATGCTTTTTTGGCTCTCAACTAAAAAGGTTCTCGATCCCCTGTTTTTAAGGGACAGTGTGTACTATGCAGTGGTTTAATAAAGCAACACAATCACACTTTTGTTGCCAGAATATTCCTGCCTGTGACACTTCTAAGCACTGCTGCGATCCACCTGCTGCGATCCATCCGCTGCGATCCACCTGCTGCGATCCACCCGCTGCGATCCACCCGCTGCGATCCACCCGCTGCGATACACCCGCTGCGATCCACCCGCTGCAATCCACCCGCTGCGATCCACCCGCTGCGATCCACCCGCTGCGATCCACCCGCTGCGATACACCCGCTGCGATCCACCCGCTGCGATCCACCCGCTGCGATCCACCCGCTGCGATCCACCCGCTGCGATCCACCCGCTGCGATCCACCCGCTGCGATCCACCCGCTGCGATCCACCCGCTGCGATACACCCGCTGCGATCCACCCGCTGCGATCCACCCGCTGCGATCCACCCGCTGCAATACACCCGCTGCAATCCACCCGCTGCAATACACCTGCTGCAATACACCTGCTGCAATCCACCTGCTGCAATACACCTGCTGCAATACACCCGCTGCGATCCATCTGCTGCAATCCACCTGCTGCAATACACCTGCTGCAATACACCTGCTGCAATCCATCTGCTGCAATCCATCTGCTGCAATCCACCTGCTGCAATCCACCTGCTGCGATCCACCTGCTGCGATACACCTGCTGCGATCCATCTGCTGCGATCCACCTGCTGCGATCCACCTGCTGCGATCCACCCGCTGCAATACACCCGCTGCAATACACCCGCTGCAATACACCCGCTGCAATACACCCGCTGCAATACACCTGCTGCAATCCACCTGCTGCAATCCACCTGCTGCAATCCACCCGCTGCAATACACCCGCTGCAATCCACCCGCTGCAATCCACCCGCTGCAATCCACCCGCTGCAATCCACCCGCTGCAATCCACCCGCTGCAATCCACCCGCTGCAATCCACCCGCTGCAATCCACCTGCTGCAATCCACCCGCTGCAATCCATCCGCTGCAATCCACCTGCTGCAATCCACCTGCTGCAATCCACCCGCTGCAATCCACCCGCTGCAATCCACCCGCTGCAATCCACCTGCTGCAATCCACCCGCTGCAATCCACCCGCTGCAATCCACCCGCTGCAATCCACCCGCTGCAATCCACCCGCTGCAATCCACCCGCTGCAATCCACCTGCTGCAATCCACCCGCTGCAATCCACCCGCTGCAATCCACCTGCTGCAATCCACCCGCTGCAATCCATCTGCTGCAATCCACCTGCTGCAATCCACCTGCTGCAATCCACCCGCTGCAATCCACCCGCTGCAATCCACCTGCTGCAATCCACCCGCTGCAATCCACCCGCTGCAATCCACCTGCTGCAATACACCCGCTGCAATACACCCGCTGCAATCCACCTGCTGCAATCCACCTGCTGCAATCCACCCGCTGCAATCCACCCGCTGCAATCCACCCGCTGCAATCCATCTGCTGCAATCCACCTGCTGCAATCCACCTGCTGCAATCCACCCGCTGCAATCCACCCGCTGCAATCCACCCGCTGCAATACACCCGCTGCAATCCACCCGCTGCAATACACCTGCTGCAATACACCTGCTGCAATCCACCTGCTGCAATACACCTGCTGCAATACACCCGCTGCGATCCACCCGCTGCAATACACCCGCTGCAATACACCTGCTGCAATCCACCTGCTGCAATACACCTGCTGCAATACACCCGCTGCGATCCACCCGCTGCGATCCACCCGCTGCAATCCACCTGCTGCAATACACCTGCTGCAATACACCTGCTGCAATCCACCTGCTGCAATCCATCTGCTGCAATCCACCTGCTGCAATACACCTGCTGCAATACACCTGCTGCAATCCATCTGCTGCAATCCATCTGCTGCAATCCACCTGCTGCAATCCACCTGCTGCGATCCACCTGCTGCGATACACCTGCTGCGATCCATCTGCTGCGATCCACCTGCTGCGATCCACCTGCTGCGATCCACCCGCTGCAATACACCCGCTGCAATACACCCGCTGCAATACACCCGCTGCAATACACCCGCTGCAATACACCTGCTGCAATCCACCTGCTGCAATCCACCTGCTGCAATCCACCCGCTGCAATACACCCGCTGCAATCCACCCGCTGCAATCCACCCGCTGCAATCCACCCGCTGCAATCCACCCGCTGCAATCCACCCGCTGCAATCCACCCGCTGCAATCCACCCGCTGCAATCCACCTGCTGCAATCCACCCGCTGCAATCCATCTGCTGCAATCCACCTGCTGCAATCCACCTGCTGCAATCCACCCGCTGCAATCCACCCGCTGCAATCCACCCGCTGCAATCCACCTGCTGCAATCCACCCGCTGCAATCCACCCGCTGCAATCCACCCGCTGCAATCCACCCGCTGCAATCCACCCGCTGCAATCCACCCGCTGCAATCCACCTGCTGCAATCCACCCGCTGCAATCCACCCGCTGCAATCCACCTGCTGCAATCCACCCGCTGCAATCCATCTGCTGCAATCCACCTGCTGCAATCCACCTGCTGCAATCCACCCGCTGCAATCCACCCGCTGCAATCCACCTGCTGCAATCCACCCGCTGCAATCCACCCGCTGCAATCCACCTGCTGCAATACACCCGCTGCAATACACCCGCTGCAATCCACCTGCTGCAATCCACCTGCTGCAATCCACCCGCTGCAATCCACCCGCTGCAATCCACCCGCTGCAATCCATCTGCTGCAATCCACCTGCTGCAATCCACCTGCTGCAATCCACCCGCTGCAATCCACCCGCTGCAATCCACCCGCTGCAATCCACCCGCTGCAATCCATCTGCTGCAATCCACCTGCTGCAATCCACCTGCTGCAATCCACCTGCTGCAATCCACCTGCTGCAATACACCCGCTGCAATACACCCGCTGCAATACACCTGCTGCAATACACCTGCTGCAATCCATCTGCTGCAATACACCCGCTGCAATACACCCGCTGCAATACACCCGCTGCAATCCACCCGCTGCAATACACCTGCTGCAATCCACCTGCTGCAATACACCTGCTGCAATCCATCTGCTGCAATACACCTGCTGCAATACACCTGCTGCAATACACCTGCTGCAATACACCTGCTGCAATCCACCTGCTGCAATACACCTGCTGCAATACACCTGCTGCAATCCATCTGCTGCAATACACCTGCTGCAATCCACCTGCTGCAATACACCCGCTGCAATCCACCTGCTGCAATACACCTGCTGCAATCCATCTGCTGCAATACACCCGCTGCAATCCATCTGCTGCAATCCACCTGCTGCAATACACCCGCTGCAATCCATCTGCTGCAATCCACCCGCTGCAATCCACCCGCTGCAATCCATCCGCTGTAATCCACCTGCTGCAATCCACCTGCTGCAATCCACCTGCTGCAATCCACCTGCTGCAATCCACCCGCTGCAATCCACCCGCTGCAATCCACCCGCTGCAATCCACCCGCTGCAATCCACCCGCTGCAATCCACCTGCTGCAATACACCCGCTGCAATCCACCTGCTGCAATCCACCTGCTGCAATCCACCCGCTGCAATCCATCTGCTGCAATCCACCCGCTGCAATCCACCTGCTGCAATACACCCGCTGCAATCCACCTGCTGCAATCCACCTGCTGCAATCCACCCGCTGCAATCCATCTGCTGCAATCCATCTGCTGCAATCCACCTGCTGCAATCCACCCGCTGCAATACACCTGCTGCAATCCACCTGCTGCAATACACCTGCTGCAATACACCTGCTGCAATCCATCTGCTGCAATCCACCTGCTGCAATCCACCTGCTGCAATCGACCTGCTGCAATACACCCGCTGCAATACACCCGCTGCAATACACCCGCTGCAATACACCCGCTGCAATACACCCGCTGCAATCCACCCGCTGCAATACACCTGCTGCAATCCATCTGCTGCAATACACCTGCTGCAATACACCTGCTGCAATACACCTGCTGCAATCCACCTGCTGCAATACACCTGCTGCAATACACCTGCTGCAATCCATCTGCTGCAATACACCTGCTGCAATCCACCTGCTGCAATACACCTGCTGCAATCCATCTAAGCAGCACAAACTCTGCTTAGAACATGTTTTTGTGTCTGCTTTCAAAAAACAGTTGCAAAATATGGAGGAATGTTTGTTTGTGAATATACAAGTGTGTCCGGAGCCAATTTAAGGCAACATTTCAACAAAATGGCAGATTAGGAAGGGGCGACAGTAGCTCAGTTGGTAGAGCATTGGCCTTAAGGCCAGAAGGTTGTGGGTTCAATTCCCACCTCTGCACCTTCTCCATCGACTTCCACTGATGACTGCTGTCGTTGTGTCCTTGGGCAAGACACTTAACCCCACTTTGCCCAAAGCCCCTACTGAAAGATCAAGGCTATGCTCACACTCAGAGAGCAGCCGTCCTCCTGTGGACTCACCACCTGCAGAGGGTCAGTGAGGGGCTGGGGCTATGAGACTTGGGTGGCATCTCTGACTGCCACCCCCCTGACCCAGAAATGGATTAAAGGGAAGAAATCCACAATATCGCCGTGATATTTATAACTAAGAATAACTCCACTTTTGTTCAGAAAAGTTCGAATATAATTTTTCAATGTGACCGATAATTTAGGCTATGGCTGCAAATAAACAGATATGGTGCTATTGCTATTGCTATTGCTAATGCTATTGCTAAAGCTAATGCTATTGCTGATGCTAATACTAATACTAATGCTATTGCTAAAGCTAAAGCTAATGCTAAAGCTAATGCTATTGCTATTGCTGATGCTAATACTAATGCTGATGCTGATACTAATGCTAATACTGATGCTAATGCTATTGCTGATGCTATTGCCGATGCTATTGCTAATACCAATGCTAATGCTAATGCTCATGTTAATGCTAGTGCTATTGCTAATACCAATGCTAATGTTAATGCACATGTTAATGCTAATGCTATTGCTAATACTAATGCTAATGCCGATGCCATTGCTAAAGTGCAAGTTTGTAATTAGGTCATTTTTAGAGTTATATTCATCACCTTGATTGACAATGATGGGAATAGACTCGCTTGGACAAAAAGGAGAAGAGCACCGCAGTTTTTTAACTTTATCCAGCTGTGTTTGTGCAAATGTGAGCAAGGCACTGATGCACAATTTTCTTCGGGATCAATGAAGTATCAATCTATCTACAGTACCTGTGATACCAAAATGTCCAGTGGAAGGTAGTAGTAAGTTTGTTTATAGGTCAAAGTTAGCATCTATTGTTAGCTTTGTGTATATATTATTCTTATGATTGCTATCTGCATCATTACAGACATTACCTTTTTCAAATATGAGCTTAGATATTCATTTGTGGTTGGTCTTTTTTTTGAGTAGTGTGTTTTGGTTCGGCGTACATTGAAATCTCTTGTTTGTCTCTGATCTGGATGCTCACTCGCTGCTTTGGTTCTGCTTTAGTTCTCTTACTGTAAATTAGTCTTAATTAAGTATATTGTGGAATGGAAAACAGAGAGTACAGTGTGTATAAGCTGCAGAAGTGACAGAGTCTGTGTTTATGAAACCTAAGATAACATTTTGTATTGTAACCGTGTAGATCTGATTTACTGTTCTATCTTTCTAACATTGATTCATCGATTGGTAACATTGGATTTGAATGATTTTTCTGTTCACGATTTCAATTATATGTTTTTGCTGGGATGAATCTAACTATAAATATAAATACAAAAATATGCTAAAAGATTAAAGGGGATATACATGTTTTCTACCTGGACCTAAATCATAATTTCAGTAACTTTCAGCTGTGAGAGGGGATTTTTTAAAACCCAAAACGTGGTCTTTCTACTAGAGCCAACCCCCAGACACCAGCTGTAGCCTCATTCATTATTTATTTAAGAAAAACTTTGGGACTTTGGAGTTTGAGTTGCTGCTTTGCAGATATGTTTTTATGATTTCAGTAAATGAGTCTTCATTGGTTTGTGAAGTGTACGCACTGCTGCATGTGCACGAAGGAGATGTATATTACAAAAATGAATATGCATGTATGTATGTATGTGTAGTAGTAATATTTATTTATATACTGCCTTTTCACTGCAGATCTGAGTCTCAAAGCGGTTTACAATTGTTAATTTTGGGCATTTGTCTCTCACTCTACACAGAGATGGGAGCAGGGCCAGTACAGGAGGCACACAGACCTATTGTACATATTTTTAGTGGTAGGGGAAACCTACGTAGACACGGGGAGAACATGCAAACTCCACTCAGGAAGACCCTGGTCCGACCGGGATTCGAACCCAGGACCTTCTGGCTGAGAGGCAAGAGTGCTAACCACTCAGCCACCTTGGTGTGTATGTGAGCATACATTTATGTACGTGTGTGTGCACATGCATTAATATATATATAAATATTTAATACCCTTCCTTTTTAAATTATTATTATTATTATTTTCTATTATTATTGTTACTATTATTTTGTTTTATTATTTGTAGTGTATTATAATTATTAGTATTTTTTGTATTTCTGTTTTAATTTTTTTAATTATTTTTTTATTTTATGTAATCCTTTCTTTGCATTATAAATGTAAAAGCAATATATAAATTATGACATTCTCCTTGAATTGTAAAGGCAAAAACTCAAATATAAAGTGTTAAAAAAATAATAATAAAAGAGTAAATGAGTCTTCACAGGTCAAGACTAAAGGCCTCACCGTCAAAAAATGTTCAGTGAATTGTTTAGATATATTTCCAAGAGTGAGATTGACGCGCACATCCAATTCAAAGTAGCGTGCAAAAAAGTCAGAAATAATTGGACTTTGTCTGATGAGGGATAGTGACCGGAAACGTCACATTGTGTGGTGAGAATTAAAATCTCTTGGGATCAAAAGCTGTGCAGAGTCATCTCCATCTTTTTCATTGATATATTTCCAGTCATTTTCAGGCCCTAAAGTAAGAGTAACAAATGCATTCCTCGAAACAGAAACAACGTGAATAAATAATTAGAAAAGTATTTTGTTTTAACTAACATAACACACTAAATTAAATCCTAACCTCCCTTTAATCCAAACATAATTGTGTGTCGAAAACCATTGGCTGACAAACTGTAACTATACTGCTGTCCACGGAAATGTGGAGGAGTGAGGAGTTAAAATCCGTAAAAATAATACAGTTTCCATTATTATTATTATTTTTGCTCAGACATAAATGTGAATATTGGTTTTCTTGTTATTGAAGAAAAGTCAGGGGTTCGTAAACTTGTCTGAGACCCCAAAACTAGCTTTGAATTCAACTCATGACTCACGAAATGATTAGTAGCATCAACGCATGTAAAAAATTGTTTGTTATTGTACCTTTACATGATTCAGATTCAGTTTATTTGCCATTTGCAGTAAAAAAAAAACACATTGGAATACATTAGCAAAAGTCTCCAGTGTGCACAGACAAATACAGACATAAAACAACATTAAAATTACGGAAATAAAACAAATAAAACAGTAAACAAATGTCACTGTGAAATGGATCGACTAAAACAGTTTCAAAACAAGTGCAAATCATTAAAGTGCTCTGTTCACACTGATAACAGCCTGTGGATAAAAACTGTTAGCGTAACGAGATGTCCTGCATCTCAGAGAGCGATATCTTCTGGAACAGGGAAGAAGCTGGAACATGGCTTTTCCAGGGTGGCCAGAAGAGTCATTGATAATTCTTAGATGTACTTTAAACTATAGTATTTGTACGCAATAATAGATTAAAGTCGGTAGCAACTTATGGTCCAGCATGCACTATAGTTTTAGCACGTGGACCACATTTGGAGAAGGGAATTCAAATAGAGATCAGAAGTGATGAGCTGAAGATATAGAGAGAGGTTTCCCACTTTTGAAGGGGAGGAGGAGGGTGACTGCATGAGCTCGACCGCAGTGCAAAACACTCGAGCTTAAGGTGATCACTCATTCAAAATGTTTTTATTGGGATGTCCGTCAGCATTTAGATGTCTTCCCCTCACGTCCTCACATTTTCAGTCCCAGTGGATTGGACTGTCGAGGTCTTCCATCCCAGATTCTCTTGAGATAAATACATTTTTATTGAATGGGACCTGTGTCCTTGGTAATTATCAAGAAATGTGGAAATAATCTCCCTCTGCCCGGTGGCTGAGTGGACAGCACTCTCGCCTCTCAGCAAGAAGGTCCTGGTTTCGAATCCCGGTGGGAACAGGGCCTTTCTGAGTGGAGTTTACATGTTCTCCCCGTGTCTGCGTAGGTTTCCTCCAGGTGCTCCGGTTTCCCCTACCACTAAAAACATGCACAATAGGTCTGAATGTAAATGAGAGAGTGAATGGATGGTGTTGGAGCTGATGGTCCAGTGTGTT